AGGGTTACTTACGTAACCGAGACGTTTCTATAAGTAAATTTGACTTATGTTTTATAGTGAATGTTTTACGTTTTACACACTGTCAATAAGTCAATATTGTAAGTTTTATTGTCTATGCAAACATAAGTAAATGTACATGTTGTAGAACCACACTATGTAAAATACATACAAATACTCATGAGATCACGCTGGAACTGAGCACCTCTGAAACATCTGAACATCTTTGTGAAACTATTAATTTATTAACAATATCTTAAAATAATCTAAAATCAAAATTTTTAAAAATGAAATCAAGATACCAAATCATACTTGTTTTTCTATTGCTTTTTCTGAAGAAAGAACATTTCTAGGCTCATGAAATAGAGTGTGTAAGGAAGGAACATGGTGCTCAGTGCTGATTTCAGACTGTTGAGTCCCTGCTGTCGGGCTGGATGATTTTTTGCTTGTCTAAAGCTACACCTACATACAGTACAAATACAAAATCTGCACTGCACCACAGCATTTCACAGCACCCTCAGAAACATTTTACTCTCGCTGTGAGCTGCTCTGAAGCTCTAGCTCTTTTACAAAGCTGATCTATGTAAAGCTCACAGAGGGAGATGTTGACATATTAATGCAGTCGCAGATGATTCATTTAGATTTTCATTGTATGTAACCGGTGTCAATCCCCTCATATTATGGCTTACAATACACTGTGTACTACACTTATGTAACACTCATTTTTAAGAAATTGTTGACTCAGTGTACCAACTGAAAAATGTGATACTGTATATGTCAAATTGTTAAACTAAAATAAAGCAGACTGCTCAGATATTGTTTTTGTACAAATGCAATGAATTTTGCCGACATAGGTCTCTCGTTTGACAGCTTGCCAGGAATTTATGAAAAATATAACAGTTATGAAGCACAAACATTTGTCATCTGACAAAAGCACGATGGGCAAATACCTCACCATTTTAATGAGAGCTGACCGTGCAAACAATTTCCTTCTCTTTCACTCCTTGTTGTCTACACCAGGGCTCGCAAAATCGCTAGCCCGACGTCCCGGGGCTATTGTGTTTTCCAGTCGGGCTACCAAAATGTATCACTGTACACTAAGTGCTCGAAAAAGAAATGGAAAGAGCTGACAGTGCAGAGAAATGTTCTTCAGGTATAATCAAAACAAAGTCACAAAGTGGTCTAAAAGTAGCTTTGAAATCAAGTCATTGTAGATTTTTATTTTTTTTTTATATTTGGGTTGTTTAGAATTGTGAAGCAGAGGTGGTTATTTGTGTCATGGTACATTTTGCATTAGTCACTATCAAAGGTGCAGTTTTCGAAACTGCTACTTTTGAAAAAATCTTTTGAAAGACCAGTCATCAACTAATTCAGGCACAACTCTGGTACTCAGTATGGTCAAGGGAAGTGTGGGTATCACTATTAACACCATTGGTACTAAAGTAAACTTTTCAACCCATGGTATAAAAAATAGCATATGACCAAAGTGGTGTGTATAAACCACATATTATATGTTTTAAACATATTTGCCAATTTGCCAGCATTTTGTGTGTTTTAGGCCATGATGCTTTATGTTGAGGCTCTAAATGAAGTCATCTACAGTGAGCATCACTGCATCAAAGATGTGCCTTTTTTTGTTGTCTGCGGCTTTGAATGATTGAGCTTTTTAAAGTGGATTCTAATTGGCTGTCAAATGATTTCTATCGTTCATCAGCTGAAAAAAAAAAAGTTCTGAAAGTGATTCCAGCAATATTGTTCCTCTATTTTCATAAAATTAGGATGATTATTAAAACTTTATAGTTACACTTATTGTCCTTGGCCCTTTAGTGACGTTTTTGAGTCATGACTATATGTCATGACTCTATGTAAAATACACACCTGTAAAAATGCATCTACACTTATTTTTTACATACTGAATTATATGCCATTTTCACAAACAATGTACTACAGTAGAATACATTAACCTTTCAGAGTGGAAGTCAAACTCACATTTCTTTAAAACTGAAATTATGTTAAATTGAATGCAAATTTGCATTACTGCAAAACTGTATTTATTTTTTGCTAGCTGGATATCTTCTCTGCTGGCCAATAAATGGCCGACATTTTTTCTAAAAACTGTCCTTTATACTGTTTATCCCAACAGTTTGCCAACATAAAGGCCAAATTAGCTGTAAATAAATGATGTTGTTACACTGGGCCGAAGGTTGACCTTGAATTTCTATTCAGTATACCTGTACGTTATATGTTTTAAGTTTAATAAAATAATTTAAACCAATTTTCAAGCCAAAGGCAATGACATCCGAAATTTGTGGAATGTGTATAATTGTAAGTGTTAAGACTTAATAAGTGTTTAAAAGTTTGTCAAAATATAATGTCATTGCACTTTATTTTATTTTATTTTATTTATTTATTTATTTGTAAGCATAGCTTCTTTCCTTACCATAATTACTGGACATGCTGATGGTATGAAAGACGGTTAATTAAGATTCCTATTCATCCTTGTGTAAGCTTGTGCCCTATTTATAGTCTGCTCTTGGCAACTAATGCCAAGAAAGACTTGCCTTTTAGTATTGTTAAGGCATTCATTGGGCGGATCAATAAAGAGACAGGGGGATTGACATATTTTCTGCTTTCAAGCCCTGGAGGACTCAAAAGATGTTACATTAACATTATATTTTACACTCTAAAAAATGCTGGGTTAAATACAACCCAGTGCTGGGTAAAATAGGGACAAACCCAGCAATTGGGTTGTTTTGACCCAGCGGTTGGGTTACTACCCAGAAGGTTGGGTTAAACATTTCTGGGTCAAAACAACCCAATTGCTGGGTTTGTCCCTATTTTACCCAGCACTGGGTTGTATTTAACCCAGCATTTTTTAGAGTGTATTTATACAGCCAATAAATGTTAATTAAACACTGTGGGCCAGCAAAACCTTTTAACTTTACGGGTTCACAGGTTTATGGGTTTAGACATCACGACAAGTCTGAAATTTTAAGTCTCCATTTCCACTGTTTAAAGAGTTTTAAAAAGCTGCTACAAGAGAACTAAGGTCTAGAACAGTGTTTCCCAACCGGGGTGTCTGACAAAATTAATTTTGTAGGGTGCCACAAATTTGTTAAAATTTCCAAAGGGTGCCGCAACTAAAGAAAGGTTGGGAAACACTGGTCTAGAAGAGAGGGTTACTGCATAAGGTAAAATGTCATAAACACTTATGAATTTTATGTTTGCCAAACAATACTGCCAATGATTTTTACATGGGAATTACATGAAATGTGCACTCCAAACCAGAATATGCATGCATATTTTTAAATATTTTATACTTAGAGCAATTAGACCATATAAAATAAATGTTATTACAGTGCACCTTAATGACATGGAAAAAAACACATAAGAGTCTTGGGAAACTCAAAGAAGTATCAAAAAGACAAAACCATAATCCATTTGTCGCTCTTTGCTCCTTAATTTTTTTTTGACATCTTTACACAACTCTACTGCTCTCCATTTACTCATCTCTCATATTCAGCTCAACTGCGAACACAAGTGCATTTGTGTACCATTATCGCAGTACACAACAGAGCAATAGGCTGAATGGGCAGTTGGAGTGGATTACATTAGAGGACATCGTTGAACAGATATGAAACCAACTCTGCAGAAAGCTTCAGCTCACATTGAAATAACTGCTTTAGAGTGAGATGAGAGCTGGGTGTGGACTGAGAATAAAGAAAATCATTGTGAATGATTCATTTGCCTAACCAAACCATAATGAATTTATCATATTTCATGTGATTTGCATATGAAGAGTTCAGATGCAAAAGCCTCTAAGTGCCATCTGAAATTTTCTTCCAAAATGAGCATTTTTCTCATGCTCATGTGTGGGTTCAGTTATTTAACTTTAATGGCAAATAATAGGTTCTGTTCATTGTCGTTAAAGGTGAAATAACTGAACATAAATATAGGAACCTGAGAAAAATGCTCATTTTAGAAGAAAATTTCAGATGGCACTTAGAGGCTTTTGCATCTGAACTCTTCATATAGACTGGGTTATTGGTTTATACCACCTTAATAAGTGATAGCATGCTGTTCAGCCTCAGGTTTCTGTTCATCTTTAGTCAATAATCATAATCAAAATATATGACCATAAGGTTGTATTAGTTTAAACTCGTTAATTTAGGTAAACTCATCTGTCAGCTGGATCCAATAACATTCGACAATAAGACAGGAAATAAAACATGCATTCAAAAGTAACGACTGAGGTGTATTGGTCAAATGAATACACATTAAACATATATGAATATGATATACAGGCCACACAGAGCAAATATGACAATGAAAATACATCCGTTTGCTAGTTCACCAGCACTTTAAAAGCCACAGGTAAGTCATTTGTTTATAAGGGAACAAGGTGATTTGCACAAAACATCATGAGTATTTGAGTATTTGACAACAAATTAGTAGAGATTTCAACTAGTCAATCTTTATGAATTGTTCATAAGAGAGGAACACAAGTGGTTTGCATTAGGCTACAACATAAAATCAATATCTACAACTAAGTTATTTCTTAATGTAATAAAGAGCTACAAGATGACTGGATGAGCAGAGGTATAAGAGAAAGCGATGCAGCACCCTCCTGTCAGTCAAATTAAATTATAAACGTTTTAGGTGGCTTTATGTGATCTGTGTGGCAGATTAATATTGCCACAGAATTATCAGGCACGTTCCTGTATTCGATTGTATTGGTGTGCAATGCCAGTGATCAAAACGAATAGAAAAGATGCACTGATGTGATTCACTCAAGTCTACTTGAACAGAATCGTCCACCATTTACATACAAGCTACACTAAACACGAAATATTTGGTTTATTTATCGTTCCATCTATCATAAATCGCCATTAGTGCATCAGTTTTGAATTATTCTCAGTGAATGTGGCGCGTGCTGGAGGATGCTGCAGTTTTGTTATCAAACAGTGTTCACACACATGCTGCTTTAAACGGGACTGCGGTACCTTTGGCCAGCATCGCTCTCAAAAGAACCCATCGTCCGAACCGGCACCGCCGCATTGAGCCAGAAGGATTTCCTGGCTTCGGTCTTCACGTCCGGGTCGATTTCGGACGGCGACTCGGTTCTTTTGACACCTGCCATTCTTCAGGCTCACAAGTTACTACTAGCAGAGATGGACGGAGGCTGTCAGCGCGGGCTCATGCTTCCCTTTACCGCGCGTCGCATCCGTAAATGCACCTGCTGCCGGACGCGCGTATCGCGCTCACGACGCCGATGAGGGTAATCACACACTCTCGCGACTGAAGTAGTGAGGCGCGTGGAGTCTTCAGTACTCAATATGATCTAAAGATTCTCCAACCTACAGCCTCAACTGCGCAAGTCCGGCTCACAAGTGTATCTGAACCGAATCACATTACCACATCAAAACCAAGACATCAAGCTGACCCACATATTTTAATAACGCTGAACAATACAGCCTTTCCGGTGTGAAATGAATGGGGAGATGAAAGGTGAAGATAATGGACTGTATATGATATGCATTAAACGACATAAGTATCTGCACTTGGAAATATTTATTAATAGCCTAATAGTGAGGACAGAAAGAAATAGATTTTATACCAATTCAATCAAACACTGCTACTGCCACAATAAAAATTATATAATTTAGCAAAGAGTGACAGGAGCCTTTTTTCCAGATTAAATGAATAACGTAAATAATATTGCCTAATGGAGTGCCAATAAATTTAACAATTTAGTATTTTGTAACTTCGTATTTATTTAAAGTTTAGACTTTATTTAAAATTAAGTTTAAAATGAGCTTTTCTGAAAAAAAAAGATGATGCAACTTGTCACCATGATGGATTGTTGCTAGGGTGTAGCTACGCAGCTGATAAAGTGTTCTGGGTGGTTGTTAGCACATTGCATTGTGTTTGCTTGCTGGTCACCAGGGTGTTGCTATGCAGTCGCTAAAGTGTTTTGGGTGGTTGCTAGGACATTGTTAGGGTGTTCTGTGTAGTTGCTGGTCACCTGGGTGTTGCTATGCAGTTGCTCAGTATTCTGGGTGGTTGTTAGTGTGATGCTATGTGGTTGCTATAGTGACTGGGTGGTTGCTAGGACACTGCAAGGGCGTATGGGATTTTATCCCATATGGTCCGCTAAGTGAAAATTGTAAGCAAGAGTGCTTAGAAACATAATATCACACATCTCCTAGAGTCAAGTCAAGCAATGTATATCTGTTTGTGTTAATCTGGTAAAGTAAGACATTTTTTCAAAAGTTCAACAGTGATTTGATTAACTATATTGTCCTTTTCACTATTGACATGTAGTGTCCAAAAGCTAGCATTTTCCTTTAAGGAACTTTTCAGGCTTACTAATATTCAAGTACGTACTGTACATATTCTACCTCCAGAGACAAATCACCTTTTATATAAATGATAACAGCACATGTGCTGGAAAGCAAACATCAACGCGCCACAGTAAGCATTAAATCTTCTCATTAAATTTTCACGAATAGAGAGAACGGCCCACTGGCTGAGTGGGAGTCTCTGTTCTCTCTCAGTCTCTGCACTGAGGGTGATGATTATGTAACAGTAGATTATGAGAACTGCAGACGGGATTCCACCAATGAAACATCACAGTGACACCCTGTGGTCAGAGGAAGAGCAATACTCATTTCTCCCAATCCTCCCTGAGACATTGTTATTGTTACTGTCAGACAATTATTGATTTCTTTGAGCAAGGTGTGAGGTGAAATCTCAATGAGATCTGAATCTACTAGTCATTCAGACCACCAACCAGATTTTTTTTAAAAACAACAATAAAGGAAGATTTTTGTTTTAGCAAATCAAGTTAAAATGTTCACTGTAAAAAAACAAAATTTTTGTAATATTTAGTTTTCCGGTCAAAAATACCTAAACATCTTGAAAACAAGATACATTTATATGTGTAGCTAAATTGTGTAAAGAGAAGACTTCTTTTTTTTCAGAGAATATATTTAGAATTTTTTCCACCCCACTAAAATCATTTGCTTTTAAGATTTTGTTTCAATTAGCCAAATAAATTAGCCAATATGGCAAAAAAACATAAATCTGTAATACATGTAAAATACATATTGTGGATTATGTACAGTATGTATTTATGTATTTATTTTGTATTAATTTATGTTTTCATTCACTCATGTCATGTGCATTTTCTGCCATACCATAGGAAACATTCTCACCTATTAACATGTTAAAAGACCTTAAATTAAAAATGACCTTAAAAACACTGCATGCTGGTAGCACTACAGTTATCTGTTTTTTATGAAGTACTTTGCGTTTCCTGCACTCCAGTACATTACTACTATTATTAACCAAATTTACACTGTTTTTAACAGATTTTACATGTTTTTCATAGTAAGCCTAAAAAAATAAAAACTTCTAATAATCTTGACTAACTCTAATACTGTACAGCATAAGTGTCTACACATATAGTATCCCCATACAACATATTCATCTGTACATATACAGTACAGATTTGTATCTCATCTACATCACACTGTACTGTATGTGTCTCTGGTGATACAATCTCTTGATATTAAAAGGATAGTTCACCCAAAATGAAAATTCTGTCATCATTTACTAACCTTCATGATGTTTCAAACCTGTATGACTTTATTTCTTCTGCAGAAAACAAAGATATAAAAAAAAAAAAAAAAAAAAAAAAAATAGACTTCAATTGTAAACAAAACAATTTTCCAGAAAAAAAGTCATAGAGTTGACATGAATACAACTTTTCATTTTAATTGAACTATGCTTATAAAGATGGGCTCTTTTGAATAGACAATATTGAAACTGGTAAAGTGAAACTGTTAGATCACCAAAAAAGTTTTTTATTTTATTGATTGATATTCTTGGGTGTGGGATTAGTGTACAAATAAAACACATTGGTGTGCAATTAAGATTAATTTATTGCTAAGTTTTCAAACAAATTTAAATTAGTTGAAATTGTGAAAACGTCTCGGGTTACGCATGTAACCATGGTTCCCCGAGAAGGAACGAGATGCTGCGCCCCCTAGGGGACACATTGGGGAATGCAGCCTGCATGACTGGTGTCTGAAGCATGTGTGAAACAATGCCAATCTATTGGCCCACCTGGCCCATGACGTCATAGGCGGGATGCCCGGAAGTATAAAAGGGCACCTGCTGAATACGTCATCCACTTTAGCTGTCTAAAGGAGACGTAGACAGGCAGGCCGAAGGGGCCGCAGCGTCTCGTTCCCTCTCGGGGAAACATGGTTACATGCGTAACCCGAGACGTTCCCCTTCTAGGGAACTCAACGCTGCACCCCCTAGGGGGCACATTGGGGAACGAAATCCAATCACACCGTGCCGAGGCGCATGCCTGTCCACCTGGTGGGAGAGCACCAAGAAAGCGACAGACATAAACAAAGCCTTTCCTCGGAAAGGGGCAATGCCACGTGCCACTCACGCAACATGGCAGAAACGGGGGAACCCGAATTGATCAAGGGGAACATCCCATCCAAGTTAAGAGCACAGCTATCCTCAGATAGCTATGCTATGTGAGCAGAACTAGCCTGGATACACTAGACCACTGAGAAGGCCAACTAGAAAGCCTCTAGAGGAGCTCAAAAGATGCTACTTAAATCCCAGGTAAAGAGAGTAGCTGCTGAGCTAGAACACAACTATCCTCAGATAGCTATGTCCCTAAGGTCTTATGAAGGCTTGTGGACCAGAATAACATAGCCAAGATAGCCTTCCTACGGAGCTGCCCAGACCACAGAGAGTGGGCTATCTACTTACTACCCTAGCAGGGGAGATAGCACTGTCTAGGCAAGGGCTCAAAGAGACCTCTACTTAAAGACACTAAAAAAAGGGAGGCAGACACTGAGCTAGCACACAGATATCCTCAGATAGCTATGTACCTTGGAAGGGCTACCAGAAGGGGGGCTCGACTGAAACTACCCAGACCACAAAGAGTGGGCTGTCTACTTACGACCCAAAAGGGGAGACAGCACTGTCCAGGTAAGTGCTCAAAAGACTGCTACTTAAAACCCTAAGCAGGGGAGCAATCACTGAGTTAGCACATAGCTATCCTTAGATAGCTAGGCTGTAGGAAAAGGGACCACTCCATAAGAGGGCTCACCTCAACTGCAATGGAACACAGCTAGCCTCAGATAGCTGTATTCAGGTAAGCCCAATCCGCCATACCAATGGCTGGAATATAACCACCCTCAGATGGCTATT